CAATTTAGGTTAAGGGTTTATGAGCAATACTGTGATTCAGAATTTTGTTATCATATTTTATGATGAATATGCTTATTTGGCTAACATATTTGACTGATTAATGACTTGAGATAACTTTCTATGTTCATTAGATCCATATTTTTAATAAACTGAAGTGAGCTAAATATGTTACACCTCTTTCTTTACTGTATATTCACACATATATGTATCATGTATTTATGCATGTAATTATCCATAAAGTCGAAGTTAGCAGTACTATGGTGCAATGTTATTTAGTTTCTGTGGCTTAGTAGCATAATTTGAGATCAAGCATTTGGTTATCTCCAGTATTCCTCTTTCTTGTTAAGATCATTTTCTGCTCCCATATACGTTTTAGAATTTTCCCTAGATCTTTGAATGTTATTAAAATTTAGATGAGGGTTTCATTGGATTTGTAGATTGCTTTTGGCACTAGAGTCAATTTTGCAATATTCTGTATAGTGAATTGTAACCTGTCAATTTGGATATCTCTGTCAGTTTTACTTTGAGAGGTTCTCATCAAGCAATCTACTCTTCAAGGTCCAATCCCCAGTACCTGTCAGAAGTGATAAAGCAAACTGTTGTAACTGCAATGACACTACATAAACACACATTAAATAAACACACTTTAGATGAATTGAAGCTGACTAAATCAATGCATGACTGTAAAACAGAAAATGACAAAACTAATGTAGAGTGTGATGAAGTTAAAAGTTATTTATGGTACATGTAGAAATAATAGATAAAGGAAAAAGTCAGGGACGTGGGACACAGGAGAAGACTGGTTAAATGAAAGACAGGAAAGGAGAAGAGGGATGGAGGAGAGTGTTACAGAGAGGCAGAGGAAAAAAAGAGATAAAAACAAAACATATTCAGGAAGAAACCATCCTGAGTGAGGTAACCCAGTTCCAAAAAGACAAAAATGATATGTACTCTCTCATATATGGCTTTTAGGCATAGAGAAAAGGATTACCACCCTACAATCCACACCACTAGAAGAGCTAGAAAACAAGGAGGACCCCAAGAGAAAAACTCATGGCCCCCTTAAGAAGGGAAGGGGCACAAGAAACCCCTGAGCAAATTGGGAGCACTGAGGGAGAGAAGAGGGAAATGGAAAGAAGAGAAGGGGAGAAGGGGGGGGGAGAAGAACAGGAGGATGGAGACAGGGGAAGGAATAGAAGAGGGCAAGAAAAGAGATGCCTTTATAAAGGGAGCCACTATAGGTTTGGAGAGAGGTCTGGCACAGAGGAAATAGTAAGGGATCCACAGGGATAACCCCAGCTAAGAGTCTAGGCATTGGTGGAGAGGCTGCCTTTGATGCCCTTTCCCTATAACGAGACTGATGACTACCTTGGTTACCATTCCCAGTGCCTTGATACAGCAGCTGATCGAAGCAGAAGCAGGCACCCACAGCTGAGCACTGAGCCATGCTCCTGGAATCCAGTTGCTGAGAGGGAGGAGAGATGACCAAATGAACCAAGACATAACTGTAGATACCTGTAGAAACAATTGACCTGACCTAATGAGAGCACGCAGACCCTAGTTGTAAAGCAGGGAAACCAGCATTGGCCCAAACCAAGCCCTCTGAATGTGGGTACCAGCTAAGAGGCCAAGACAGTCTATGGAGCCTCTTAACAGTGGAGCCAGGGTTTATTCCTACACCACAAGTGGACTTGGGGCGCCCATTCCCTATGGAGGGATACTAATGCAGCCCAGATACGCAAAGGAGGGCCTGGGTCCTCCCCCAAATGATGTGATGGATTTTGAATATCCCCCGTGGAGGGTCTCACTATCCCTGGGGAGTGAGTGGTGGGTGGGTTGGGGGGGTTCAGTGGGAAGCTAGAAAGGATGGGAGGGGGAGGAAAGAGGGTAGGGATATGTAAATAAAAGTGTTTCTAAAAATAAAAAACCATTTTAAAACACTTTCTTAATGAAAACAATTCAAATACATGCATGCATGTGCATGCATGTGTGTGTGCATGTGTGTGTGTGTGTGTGTGTGTGTGTGTGTGTGTGTGTGAGAGAGAGAGAGAGAGAGAGAGAGAGAGAGAGAGAGAGCTTCTATGGTAAAAGGTTTCTGTATATCGTTTTCAAAAGGTCTTTAATGTTTATCCCTCTTTGTATTTCTTCTACCCTGACATCCTGTTGCTATCCCAATTCAACACTTCCTATTCCATTATTCCCCTTTAACACTTGATACCAGTACAATTAATGGCAGGGACATTATGGGAGTAACTAACTACTTTGCAATCAGATTTACAAGGTGAAACCTGGCATGATTATCAGGCAGGGAACCTGTGGCTAGGCAGGTTATTATTCCCTTGAGCGACAAAACTCACCTTGTTATGAGTTGGATGGTTGGGGGAAAAGCACAGGGCTACAACCATCCAGAGTCTATGGATCTCATCCCTGTAGTAACCAGGCTTTTCCCCAATAAGCCTGACTGGGGGTTGCCCCAGGGGAGTAACAGCCATAGCGAGGAACAAAAAGAGGTGGCGGATTCCTTAACAAGCAGTCCTGCAGGGACAGGTGGAGAACCAACCACGGGTTGCAGCAGGGGCCAGGACAATAAGGTGTGAGAAACCCAGTTCTTCTACAGCTGGGCCAGGAGCCCAAATCCCTAGAAACAGCTGCCGGCTTCACCAGGTGCCCTGCGTCCTCAGGCTAGCCCTCTACAGCGTTCTCTGTGGACCCTGCCCAGACCCCCAGGGATTGTTGTCCTCATCATCTCACCAACACGTTTCCATCAGGAAACTAGCTGAACCCTTCGGACGTAAGACAGCGATCTTCAACCTTCTGAATGTTGTGACCCTATAATGTAAGTTGTTCATGTTGTGGTGTATCCACAACCATAAAATTATACTGTAGCTACTTCATAACTAATTTTTCTGTACTGTTGTGAATTGTCATGTAAATGCTTTGGGAGAAGCATGTTGGCAAGAGGATAGAGACCTACAGATTTTGAACCTAGGTGTCAGTAAGGAAGATAAAACTGGGCTAAGTTTCTTCTGGATATCAAGCCCACGCCCCTCAGATATTTGTCATCAAGATCATGTAAAATGTGACTGACTCTAGCAAGGGCAGCTGGGGCTTCTGGATAGCCTTGCCCTTGGCCTGCAGTGTGACTCCAAGGGGCCATCTCCTTAGCCCATCTCCTCACTTTTCTGAGGCCACAGCAGGGCAGTCACAAAGCAGCCCTGTGAGGACAGCACCTGTGCCCTGAAGACCGGCTCTGTGTGTCCTTTTCCTTTTTGAGAACCTCAGGCCAGATTCTTTTCATCCCACCCAGATCATGGGGAACACCTGTGCCTGTCACCATTTCCCCCCCACTCCCCTCCCTCATCCTTCCTTTTTCTCTCAGAAGTGTCATGGAGCCCAGGTTGTCCTCAGACCCAATTGTAGTTGAGGATGACCCTGAATTCCTGGTCCTCTGCCTCAACTCCTCTAGTGTTGGGATTACATCACCATGCCCAGTTCTCTGTGGGGCTAGAGACCCAACACAGGGCTTTGCACAGGCTAGCCCAGAATTCCACCATCTGAGACCCACCCCCAGCTGCATGGAGACCCCAAGGCCCATGCAGGCATTTCCTGCTTGCTTTATGTCAACTGGACAGAGCCTAGAGTATCTGAAGGAGGGAGGCTCAACTAAGAAACTGACTCTATAAGACTGGGCTGAGGGAAGACTGTGGTGCACTTTCTTAATTAGGGATTGATGGGGAGGAGAGACTCAGTCCCCGGTAGGTGGGGCCAGCCATGGGCAGGTTACCTGGTTTCCATAAGAACATAAACTGACCAATCACGAAGACGTAACCAGTAAGCAGCGCCCCACCAGGATATCTGTTTCAGTTCCTTCCTGGAGTTTCCGCCTAGAGCTCCACCCTGATTTCTGCCAACAATGGAGTGTGCCCTGTAAGCCAATAGACCCTTCCCTTCCCCCAAGAGTGTTTTGGTCAGTCTTTTTGTGACACTAGTGTAAAGAAATTGGGGACAGTCCCTGAGCCAGAGAGAACCTTCAGTGGCACAGCCTTCACAGTGGACACTCACCATCCGCCATCTTGAGTCTGGCTGGCCCACTGCAGGTTTGGACTTGCTCTATCATCGTGTGCCAACTCCAATCTCAAATCCTCCTGCAGGCACACATGTCCCATTGGCTCTGTTTCTCTGGAGTGTGCTGACTATTCAAGATAGCCTCTACCCTGAGCATTTCCAAATAAAATTAGAGTTGTCACATTAACCACCTTACGCCAGTCCCAAAGCCTGATGGGATTCAGATTTGCATAATCAGAATCTGAGTTTGTGTGAAAAGAATTAAGAGGTCCCCCATGTTGGAACCAACAATCCACATGTCTCTCTGAGTTCTAGGCTGTCTTTGATATCATTCTGTGGTTTTCTGTTGTCTAATTTTAGGTTTTTAGAGTCAGGCCCTTTAAATGTTACAATTTAAAATTCTGTGTTATGTGTGCTTGCTGACAAGATGGATGTGGTCTGAATGAGAATGGTGCACAAAGCCTTGTGCCTTTGATGTTGAAATGGACCAGCAACCAAACTCACAGTGACGAAATGTCCAGAAGATGTCACACAGTGCTCCTGTAATGTTTGGGGGTCAACTTCCACTTTATGCTTTAGAACCTAGATATAGACAGACCAGGCCAGCACAGAACTTAAGTAAAAGCAGTGAAGTTTAATTAGTTAAAAACAAGTTTGGGGCAGGCGTTAGGGTCAGCATCACTTCTGGGAACCAAGTCCTGAGCATGTGGGAGAAGTGACCAGATGCTCCCTGTGCACATCCTATTGTGCCTTCAAGCACGGAACACAGAGTTCTCTGCACAGCACCAGGTCAACTTCCAGACAGCATTGGTAGCTCAGAGATCCACAGGGCATGGAGTCCCCATCCATACCAGCTCCACAGGCACCTCCAGATCAGAGTCACCCGAGGGGCATGCTGCACTGGGAGCCCAGGGGGGAGGGGTTCAAAGGGATGAGAGGTCTTTAGAAGGACAATCTGTAAGGTCAGCATCACAGGCAAAAGAAAGTCACAGCTTGTACCCAGGAAGGGAGAAGGCTTAGGATACAGACAGCCAGGCTCATGAAAGCAGTTTATCTGACGTTCAGGGCTGCCATGCCGGAGGCACTGCTAGACTGGAGACCTAGGGAACAAGTAGAGAAGTAGATGTATAAATTCTTCACTGAGGGTTCAAGGCTCAGGGACCTGAAGGGCTACCAATACCTAGAGAGGACCAAGGAGAGACTGCTTAGTGAATCCCTGCAGAATTGGAAGCTGAACCCAAAGTCTGTGCTCCATCCAGTCCAGCTTCATTCCTGCCTCTGACCAATCTCTCCTCAACCAGTTAGTGCTGCCTCCAAGCTGGGGGAGATGCCCAGTGTAGGTTCTCTTAGGCCAATACCACACAGCACTCCAGTGTGATTAAACTGGAGAGACAAGGTCACTAGGTTCTAGTCCCATCACTGCTATCCCAGGGCTCTGTGGTCTCAGGACCTGCATTCTGATGCCCAGAATCTGTTTCCTTAGCTGTGACAGGGAGCACTGGACATATGCAATTGTTTCCAGGACTGAGGGTGACTATGTGCTTACTGTGTGATTAGTTGACAGCACTTATACCCAAAGGTGAAGGGTGACCACACAAGGAAAGCTCAGGGAGAGCCCCCAACACTCTCTTCCTATACTGAGAGAAAGATTTCTGGTGCCATCTCACCAAGTTCGGGCTCCTTCAGTAGGACGATATTTGCTCTGTTTTCAATCTGCAGGAGAGGGAACAGCCATCAGAATCCTGGATGACACAATCTAGGCAACTCTAAGACAATGACCATTCAGACTTGAGGCAGCACAGAGGGGAAAGGAGCAGAAGGGGATCTGGGGTGAAGATTCTATAGCCAGAAGGAAGCATTACTTCCACATTGCCCAGGTGTGCCCAGGTACCCACATGTGTGTTCGGATACATTCTCCCTTTCCATCCTGTTCCTCCTCTATTGTGTTTATAGCCTCCTGAAGTAGAGAAGTCAACAACAATATCTTCAAGAACTCCCTGAAACTAACCAAGATGAGGTTGGTGATATCTGCACTTTGGTCTGTTATAAGTTCCATATCTGGGATGAGGAGATGAGTATATTTCATATTCTCAGAAACAACTTTGTCACATAACACAACTCCCCAAATTGTACATGGAAAAAGACCCTGTTAGAGCCCCTGTACGAAGAGTGAATGAAGGAGAGGTGAGAATCTTCCTGGGGAGAGCTGTTCCTGCCCCTCATCAGCTGACGCTCTCAGGAGAGTGTCCCCTCTGCCACACCTGGACAACACTGTGCAGCCTTGGAGATCTGACCCTGAAAAATTAAGCCAGGACAACTGGCCCCGTCCTTTGCTCATCACTGCAAGAGGCGAGTTTTCCAGGGCAATGCTGGAGGGCTCAGCCTATGAGGGAGGACAAGGCAGAGCTGGCAGGCTGAGCAACCCTGCCCTTACCCAGGCCCAGATCCAGGGTTTCTTGTTGGTCCTCCCCACCATCACCACCATCTGTGATCTGCCATTGCATGTGAAGGGAGTGAACCTGCAGACCCAAAGACGCACAGTTTCCACTACAGGTACCAGCAGATAACCAAGAGGAGTTCCAGTGAGAGCCCAGCATGAACAGTGTAGCAGAAACCAAAGACCTTGAACCAGATCAATGAATCTCTGCAATAAAGTTTTTCAAGTAAACATATATGGATAAGAGTGTTTATTACATGACTCCCTGTGTCATACAAGAGTTTCCATGATGAGGTTTATTTTTCCTCATCCCCCATTTCTTCTTTTTTCTCTTAAATTGTATTTTTGGGTGAAGAGGGGTTGCAATGCATTGGATAGATAGGAGGGGGCAGGGAAATGAAGGGGATGGGAATATAAGAATAAGAAAAAACCTTCCTAGGGGTGGGAGAGTATGAAAAACATTTGCATCTGACACCTCATCTGCTGAAGCTTTCAATGGGAGGTATCAAACACTTACGTAGTAATGGTCCACTAATTTCCAGACGCTTAAGTCTGCCCCAGAGTATATAAACATAGAATGTGTCTGCCACCCACTGGGGAGACATGTAAAACTTGGGAAGAAGCGGGTCAGGAGTTCCTTGCAGCATTCGCCCACATGCCACAACTTGACAATGATAGAGTCTCGAGGCTGAAGGGAGTAGAGGGGAGAGGTACATTAGGGACAGATACCTTTAGTCATACCTGGGTGCTGGCCTAGACTTTTTTGCAAAGGTCAAGATGAGAGGTTCCAACAGACATAAACACATCCTTGTTCCAACACCTGTGTCTTCCCCAGGGCCTGGGATGTCTGCTGCTCTTCTGCCTGGTCTGACCCTGTCCTCCCTCTGCCCATCCCTGCTCATCCCCAGCTTCTCCCACACAGTAGCCACAGTCTCCAGACACACAGCACCTTTCACGGATGCTGGATTGGCCCCTAGGGCTCTCTCTCAGTCATTTCCAAAACCGAGACAGATTCTGGAGAGACGGCTCCATAGCTTCACAGACATGAGGACCTAAGTTTGACTTTCCAACTCCCATGTAAAAAAGTCACAGTCATACATGTGCCAGGGCCATGGAAAACTGAGATGGGAGGACCACTGGGGTTTCCTGACTGCAGTCTAGCTCCAGATTTAGTGGAAGATGCTGTCTCAGGACATAAGGTCGAGAGTGACAGAGCCGGTCACCCGAACATTCATCAAGCATAACACACGTATGCACACACACACACACACACACACACACACACACACACACACAGGGCACAGGGCAATGGTTTTAACAATAGAAATGCAATGTGGTGTTGATGGTGAGCTTCATGTGCCTTTGATAAATGCGAAACAGAAACCTTAGCCAGCACAGAAAGTCACAAGGTGAAAAAGTTTCCATAGCCAATCATGATGTTGCCTGCCTTTAATCCCAGCACTCAGGAGAGAGAGGCAGGCTAATATGAGTTCGAGATCAGCCTTGTCTACATAGTAAGTTCCAGGAGAGCCAGGAGTGTTACCCAGAGAAACCCTGTCTCGAAAAACCAACCAACCAGCCAACCAACCAACCAACCAACCAAAGGAATCAGCCACTATAAACTATAACCAAATGTCAGTTGTGACCACAGAGTAGAAAGCATGTCACAGACTTCCTATCTGTGTCCTCCTGTCTTCCTGTGAATGCTTAGATTTCTTTTCACCTGTCACACTGTGGCAGGTCACTTTACTGATTTTTGCCCTAATGTTTTTTTGTGAGAGCCTGTCCCTCTGTGGGTATTCTGACTTTATATTGATATGCCACCTGGTTTTTTGTAAATGATAATATATTTAAAACTCCCATTGCCTCTGGATGCTTTGCACCAAGGTAGACCAGGGAGTGTTCCCAAGTCCTCAGAGCCTACAAAATGAAAAGCTTCTCTGTGAGGTCTCTAATTGATAAAACCTCCTGATCTTTGCCAAGTTCACACTGAGAAGGTCCTGTCCCAGCCTACAACTTCATGAGGGAAATAAGACATTACATACACACACACATAGTCACACTAACACTCTAACACAAAAACTGACACACACAATCTCCCACACACGCTAATACATATCACACGCACACACACACATCAGAGACACACAATCACACACAGTAACACTAATTCATACTCACACTCCCTCTCACCCACACTCCGACACACACATTCTCACACTCACATGCACACACTACTACAGTGTGAGAGAGTGAGTTGTGAGAAGGTGTGAGAGAGTTAGTTGTGAGTATGAGAGTTGTGAGCATGAGAGTTGTGAGAGTATGTGAGTGTGTGATAGCATGATTATGTGTGTACAAGTGGTAGAGTGAGAATGTGTGAGAGAGTCAGTGTCTGTGAGGTGGAGTTTGTGTGATTTGCCAAAAGCAGTCTACAGATTCAGTGCAATCCCTATCAAAATTCTGGCACAGTTCTTCACAGACCTTAAAAGAACAATAATCAACTTTATATGGAAAAACAAAAAACCCAGGGTAGCCAAAACAACCCTATACAATAACTTCAGGAGGCATTACAATACCTGATTTCAAGCTTTATTATAGAGCTATAGTCCTGAAAACAGCTTGGTATTGGCACAAAAATAGACACGTAGACCAATGGAACCGAATTGAAAACCCTGATTTTAACCTAGACACCTATGAACACTCTGATTTTTGACAAAGAAGATAAAATTATACAATGGAAAAAAGAAAGCATCTTCAACAAATGATGCTGGCATAACTGGGTATTGGCATGCAGAAGACTGCAGACAGATCCATGTCTATCGCCTTGGACAAAACTTAAGTCCAAATGGATCAAAGACCTCAACATAAATCCAACCACACTGAAACTCTTAGAAGAGAAAGTGGGAGATACTCTTCAACGAGTTGGTACAGGAGACTGCTTCCTGAACATAACACCAGTAGCACAGACACTGAGATCGACAATTAACAAATGGGACCTCCTAAAACTAAGAAGTTTCTGTAAGGCAAAGGACACAGCCAACAAGACAAAAAGGCAGTCCACAGAATGGGAAAAGATATTCACTAACTCCACATCTGACAGAGGGCTGATCTCCAAAGAACTCAAGAAGCAAGTTTCCAAAACACCAAAGGATCCAACTAAAAAGTGGGGTACAGAACTAAATAGAGAATTCTCAATAGGGGAGTCTAAAATGGCTGAGAGACACTTGAGAAAGTGCTCAACATCCTTAGCCATCAGGGAAATGCAAATCAAAACAGCTCTGAGATACCATCTTACTCCTGTCAGAATGGCTAAAATCAAAAACACCGAAGACAATTTATGCTGTGGAGGATGTGGAGAGAGGGGAACACTACTCCACTGCTGGTGGGAGTGCTAACTTGTACAGCCACTTTGGAGATCAGTGTGGAGATACCTCAGGAAAATTGGAATCAATCTACCACAAGATCCAGCAATTCCATTCTTAGGCATATATCCAAAAGATGCAAATCCATACAAGGACATCTGCTCCACTATGTTCATAGCAGCATTATTTGTAATAGCCAAAACCTGAAAGCAACCTAGATGCCCCTCAACTGAAGAGTGGATAGAGAAAATGTGGTACATTTACACAATAGAGTACTACTCAGCAGAAAAAAAAATGGAATCTTGAAATTCACAGGTAAATAGATAGCACTGGAAGAAATCATCCTGAGTGAGGTAACCCAGTCACAAAAAGACAAACATGGTATGTACTCACTCGTATATGGATTTTAGACATGGATCAGGATAGTGCCAGTCTGCACTTCCATTGACAGAGAGTCTGGGGAACAGGAAAGAACCTAAGAGAGATATGCATGGTACTCCAGAGAAGAGGAATGACAAAATCTTCTGAACAGATTGGGAACACGCAAAGGGTGGGGGAGGGAGTGGGAACTAGGAAGAAGAGAGGGGGAGAAGAGGAAGAGAGAGTAAGTCATGGGGGAACAGGAAGGTTGAGTGGGGGGGTAGGATAGGGGGGAGGGCAGATTGAGAAATATCATAATAGAGGGATTCATAGTTTAGAAGACAGATCTGGCACCAGTGAGACCTCTAGTGATCTAAAGGGATGATACCAACTGGCAAGCTAAGCAATAGTGGAGAGACCACCTTAAATGCCCATTCCTGATAATGAACTTGACGTCTACACTATATGCTATCCTAGAACCTTCATCCAGTGACTGATGGAAGCAGAGGCAAACACTCACAGTTAAACACTGAACTGAATACCCATGGAACCCAGTGACAGAGAGAGAGGAGCAAATTGGCAAGGAATGGGCTGGCAAAACCAGCAGAGACAGCTGATCTGAACAAGGGGGAGCTCTTGGACCCTAGACCGACAGCTGGGAGGCCAGCATGGGACTGATCCAGACCCCATTAGTATGAGAGTCGGTGAGGAGGCCTGGGCAACCTATGGGGCCCTGGGCAGTAAATCAGTGTATATCTCTGGCATACAAACGGACTTCATGTGTCCATAACACAAAGAGGGATGCTCTCTCAGCCTGGACTCTTAGGGGCGTGCCTGGACCCTGCCCTAAGTGAAATGACAGACTCTAGATATCCCCTATGTGGAAGGAAGTGGGGATAGGATGGGAGGCTGGGGGGAATGTTGGGGTGGGTGCAAGAGGAGGGGAGGGAGAGGGATCTGGGATTGACATGTGAAGCAAGCTATTTAAAATTAAAGTAATAAAAAAGCTAAGAATTTAAACGTCAAAAAAAAAGAACTCAGGAAACTAGACATCAACAAAACAAATAAATCCAATTTAAAAATAGGACACATATCTAAACAGAATTTTCAACAGAGGAATCTCTGATGGCTGACAAACACTTAAATAAATGTTCAACATCCTTAACCATCAGGGAAATGCAAATCAAAATGACTCTGAGATTCCATCTTAGACCTGTCAGAATGACTTAGATAAAAAACACAAGTGACAGCTCATGGTGGTGAGGATATGAATCAAGGGGAACACTCCTCCATTGATGGTGGGAGTGCAAACTTACAACCTACTTTGGAATTCAATATGGTAGTTTCTCAGAAAATTGGCAATCAATCTACCTCAAGTCTCAGCTGTAGCACTCCTTTATACCCAAAGGATGCTCCAACATAACCCAAGAAGTCTTACTCAACTGGATTCACCACAGCTTTATTTGTAATAGCCGTAATCTGGCAAAACCTAGATGCCTCTCAAATGGAGAACAGACAAAGAAAATGTGATATATTTGCATTTGCACAAGAGTATTACTCAGCTGTTTAAAACAATGATATCATGAAATCTGCAGGCAAATGAATGGAACTAGAAAAAATCATCCCGAGTGAGGTGACCCAGATCCAAAAAGACAAATATGGTATATTTGCACTATCTATGTATGCACTCAGTTGTAGGTGGACATTAGCTGTGAAGAAAAGAATAGTCATGCTACAACCACAGACGTAGAGAGCTAAATAACATGGAGAGCTCAAGGATGGGACACAGTGATCTCTCTGGGAAGGGTGCCTTTGCCTATCTTATTGTAACATGTTTTTCCTGGTCTTTTCTTTTGAAGGGAAAAGGAAAAAGAGTGGATGGATGAGAGATGAAGAGGGGGAGGGACTGGGAGGAGTTGAGGAAGGAGAAACTGAGGACAGAATATAATGTATGAGAGAAGAATAAAAGTTTAAAAAACAAAACAAAACAAAACAGAACATAGACTATTTCTTGGCATACTTACCAAGAGAGTGAAACAGAGACAGACAGACAGACAGACAGAGAGAGAGAGAGACAGAGAGAGAGAGAGAGACAGAGAGAGAGAGAGACAGAGAGAGAGAGAGAGAGAGAGAGAGAGAGAGAGAGAGAGAGAGAGAGAGAGAGAGAGAGAGGAGGGAATAAAGGAAGAAGATGGACAATGTTGGGCCTGTTATTACACCTGGAATCCCAAAGGACTCAAGAGGCTGTGTCAGAAGAACACAAGCCTCACTCCCTCCTGGACTACAAGCAAGTTCAAATGTCACTCCATGGAACATCTAGTGTATGTATCCCTTAGCAACACCGTTGTCTGCGAGACTCAGGTTGATTCTTTTACAGGAGCCATCAGATTCTCCTTGCCCCCTTTAGCTCAGTTGCCCAAGAAGCTGTTCTGCATGCTGCATCTGCCCCTCTAGGCACACGTGGATCCAACAGCTACTTTAACCCAAGGCTGCCCAGAAGAATGATGCTGGGAGACATGTGGCTCTAATGAATTTATTGACTGCACAAACTTTCTCATGGAAGCTGTTTTGTTTACCTCCTCACTAACAGAATTCTTTTCTGAGTTTTTTTTTAAACTAAAAATATTTGGTGCTAAAACTTTCCATATTTGATTTGGTGTAGGTTTGAAGAAAAACATATCGACTTGAGGATTTTATTTTTATGGTGCTATCGATGAATTATCCCTTTGCTAGTTTTCCAAACAGGGACAAACTGAGATCCGATAACATATCAAAGTTGGCCCCAGATAAAGGGGGAAAAAGGATGAAAAAGGAAGGATGTGACTGCTTCTAGGTATGGAGGAGAAGGTTTATTGTAGATAAAAGGGAGAGCACAGGCAGGGTGAGTTTGAAATGAACATGACTGTGAGCCTGACCATGTGAGGAGAGGGGGCGAGGGAAGAGGAGATGACAACCAAGTGGGGTGGCCTGGGCCAAGAGACTGGCATAGACAAAGTGGCTGAGTTATATAGGAAAGGACCAGAGTAGGTGGGCTGTGATGGGAAAGTTGGTTGTTGGGGCTCAGGCCTTGGGCTGCACAGTACAGGGTAGAGGGCAAGCAAGTCTGCCATTCCCTGAAACAGGATGGGAATGAGGGATGCTGGGAGAACTTGATGTCCAGAGGCCACTTTGATATGTTAACTGGCACCTCAGTCATTTATCCCAGGTGTCTCAGGCAGGCAACAGGCAGAGAACACATATTATCTACCACACCTACACTAGATCTTTGCCCTTAAGTAACATCTCAGGGGCCTTGGGGAGCATTCTTGATACCTAGAAACTTTTTACTTGCAGAATCACAGAGTAGTATAGAGTCCCAGGATCCATTGTAGCCTAAAGCCACAGCCTAGAGAAGTATTCAGGGTGATTATCTACCCCAACACACATAACCTAGCACACCAAGGCTACCAACAAGGTCAAGATACAGACTCCCTGGAGCTCAAAACTCACCATGATATGACTTGGATGATCGGGAGAAATTCCCAGGCCTACAACCATCCAGAGTCTCTGGTTCTCATCCCTGTAGTAACCAGGTAATTCCGAGGTAAGCATGGAAGGGTGAACCAGGGGAGCAGCAGCCATAGTGAGGAGCCCAAGGAGCTGGTGGTTTCCTTAAAATGAGTCCTGCAGGATCAAGGGGGGAACTAACCATGGGTTGCAGCAGGGGCTGGGATGATAAGGCATGAGAAACCCAGTTCTTCTACAGCTGGGCCAGGAGCACAAATCCCTAGAAACAGCTGTGAGCTTCACCAGGTGCCCTGGATCCTCAGGCTAGCCCTCTACAGGGCTCTCTGTGGACCCTGCCCAGACCCGCAGGAATTGTTGTCTTCACCAACTCTCCAACACATTTCCACCAGGAAACTTGCTGAACCCCCTGGATCTAGGACACTGGTGCTCAGCCTACCTAATGCTGGGAACTTTTAATACAGTTCCTCATGTTGTGGTATATCCCCAACCATGAAATTGTTTTTGTAGCTACTTCATAACTGTAATTTTGCTACTGTTGTGAATTGTCATGCAAATGATTTGGGGGATGCATTTTGGCAGGGTGATGGAGAACCATGGATTTAGAGCTGAGGCTTTGGGGGTTTCTGAGGAAGACACACCTGGACTAAGTTTCTTCTGGATTTCAAGCCTTTGCCTCTCACATGTTTGTGATCAAGGCCATGTAAAATGAGACTGACTCTGCCAAGGGCAGCTTGGTTTCATGCTAACCTTGTCCTTGACCTGGAGTGTGACTGCCCAAGGGGCCATCTCCTCAGCCCATCTCCTCACTTTACTGAGGCCACAGCAGGGCAGTCACAAAGCAGCCCTGTGAGGGCAGCACCTGTGTCCTGAAGACCAGCTCTGTGTGTCCTTTTCCTTTTTGAGAACCTCAGGCCAGATTCTTTTCATTCCACCCAGATCTTGGGGAACACCTGTGTCCTGTCAGCATTTCCCTCCTTTTCCCTCCCTCTCATCCTTCCTTCCTTTCTTTTTCTCTCAGAAGGGTCTCATGTAGCCCAAGTTATCGTCAGACCCAATTGTAGTTGATGATGACCCTGAATTCCTGGTCCCCCTACCTCAGCTCCATGCCCAGTTCTCTGTGGGGCTGGAGATCCAACCCAGAGCTTAGCAGAGGCTAGCCCAGCATTCTGCCACCTGAGACCCATAGCTGCATGGAGACCCCTAGCCCCACGGCAGTCATTTCCTGCTTGTTTTATGCAACTTGACAGAACTTAGGGTCATCTGAATGTAGAGAGGCAAAAGTAAGAAAGTGACTCCCTTAGTTTGGTTTAGGCAAGGTTGCACTGTATTTTCCTAATTACTGATTGATAGGGAGGGGAGAGTTCAGCTGGTGTAGGTGTGGCCAGCCTGTGCTGGTGCTCTGGGTTCTGTAGCATGAAGATTTAACCACTAAGCAGCGCCCTTCAGTGACCTCTACTCCATATCCTGCCTTCAGGTTCTGGCCCTGCTTGAGTTCCATTTATATTTTTCTTCAGAGATCAACTACAGTGTGGGAGTGTAAGACAAGAGAACCTCCCCCAACATACATGTGGTCAAGGTGTTTCTTTGCAGCAATAGTGACCCTAAGACACTAGGTACTGCATCTTTAGACTAGAGACAGCAGACCCCATTCCACAGAGGAAGAAACTGAGGCATGAATGGTGTGGCCTATGGTGGTTGGCAGTGGGATCCTGTGACTCACCTATTCTTGGCTCTGACGCTTTGCTGCCAGTCTTAGCTGAGCCCCTAGAATTACTGGGTCACAGGGAGAGGCTGAGAATGTATCTCTGGAAGGAATGATGTTCATGGAAGGTGGTCCTTTTGTCCTCTGTCTAGTCATTGTCCCCACCATGGCTGACAGGAGGTAATGTATCCTGGCCAACTGGCCCCTCTCTGCTACCTGGCATGGAGAGATGTTGAGATGCAGCATAGTCTGCATTTAATTTCTCTTCCCCATCCATGAGCTCTGCCCAGCAATGCTGACCTCTCCCTGCAGAGGGAGCCCTTCTCAAGTCCCAGGAACTGAGTACAGGTGCATCAGCTGGAGTGGGGGTGATTCCAGACCACAGGCACAGGCAAGGGCACTATGCTGGCCTTGGGGGACTAAGGGAAGAGCACTGTGCTGTTGGCACACCTCTCTCTGACACTCCAGGGTACTGGGCTAGACATGAGGTAGAGAACCTACCACATCAGGGCATGGTTGGACTTGGAAATGAAGAACCATGATTTGAGATGCAGATAGGGAACTCAACACATTAAGAGACCACACAATGATGGGTGTCCTCAACTCCTGGGACAAAGGTTCAGACAATGACCTGGTGCTCTTTCTCAAGGGAAGGAAATGCTAATTCAAGCAGAGGTAGGGGCATACCCATGTCTGTCTCTGGACTCTATTTCTGTTGCAGGCAATTATTGTGCCTACGTTTGAGCTGAACCTTTTGTCTGTAAAAACAATAGAAATAAAATGGGTCTTCACAACTTACAGTGTCATCTGTTACCCCAAAGCTTTGCTTTTCTGATCATCTGTTGTGGTGGCCAGATTTACCTCTCAATTAGAGCTCATGTTTACTTCAGTGACTTGGGGTAAAGTAGATTGGCTTCTTTATTGTGTGTGAGCTTCATCCCATCAGTTGAAGGATCTCACCAGAACAAAAAGACCATCTTTAGGCTGGGGAGATGAGTCATCCAGCAAAGGTGTTTGCCACTCATCATGAAGACTCAAGTTAGATTCCTGGGCATCACATGGTAGTGAAGACAAACTCCCACAAGTTGTCATCTGGCCCATATATATATATATATATATATATATATATATATATATATATATATATACACATATATATATCATGATGCATACACACACACACAGACACACACACACATGCATGCACACACAACAGACTATATGACCTTTTAATTAAAAAAATGACTAAATTTAAAGAACAATTTCCCAGAGCTGAGTAGTTTTTGTCAACTTGACACAAGCCAGGATTGGTGTGACAGGATCCAGCTGACTGTGGATTATGACACCCATGATCTGGTGGTCCTGAGTGCAGGCTGAGCAAGACAAGAGGAGTAGACTGGAAGCAGCTACCTCCTAGCCTCTGCTTCAGTTCCTGCTTCCAGGTTCCTGCCTAGAGCTCCAGCCTGGCTTCTCTCAGCAATGGAGTGAGTCCTGTAAGCCAATAGACCCTTCACTTCCCCAAGAGTGTTTTGGCCAGTCTTTTTGTGACATTAGTGTAAAGAAATTGGGGACAGTCCCTGAGCCAGAGAGAATCTTCAGTGGCACAGCCTTCACAGTGGACACTCACCATCCGCCGTCTTGAGTCTGGATGGCCCACTGCAGGTTTGGACTTGCTCTATCATCGTGTGTGCCAACTCCAATCTCAAATCCTCCTGTAGGCACACATGTCCCATAGGTTCTGTTTCTCTAGAGATTCCTAACTGATCAAGAAAGACTCTAACCTGAGCATATCCAAGTAAATTTAGAGTTGTCACATTAACCACCTTATCCCAAGCCCAAATCCTGATGGAAATCTGATTTGTGTAATCAGAATCTCTGAATCTATGTGAAAAGATTTAAGGTCTCCCCCATGTTGGAACTGACAATCCACATGACTCTCTGTATTTTAGACTGTCTTTACTTTTATTCTGAGCTTTATTACTGCCTATTTTTAGAATAGGTTTTTAGAATCAGGCCCTTTAAATGTTACATTTTAAAATTCTGTGTTTGTGTGTGCTTGCTAACAAGATGGATGTATCTGACATCAAAAAAAATCATCGGCCATGATCAAGTAGGTTTCATCCCAGGGATGCATGGATGGTTCAACATACAAAAATCCATCAATTTAATCCACCACATAAACAAGCTGAGAAAAAAATCACATGATCATCTCACTAGATGCTGAAAAAGCCTTTGACAAAATTCAACACTCCTTCATGATAAAGGTCTTGGAGAGATCTGGGATAACAAAAACATACATAAACATAATAAAAGCTATATACAGCAAACCAACAGCAAGCCTCAAACTGAATGGAGAGAAACTCAATTTCCTCTAAAATCAGGAACAAGACAAGGCTGTCCCTTCTCCCCATACCTCTTCAATATTGTCCTTGAAGTTCTATCTAGAGCAATAAGACAACAAAAGGCCATCAAGGGGATACAAATTGGAAAGGAAAAGGACAATCTTTCACTATTTGCAGATGATATGACAGTTTACATAAGTGACCCAAAAAACTCTATTAGAGAACTCCTACAGCTGATAAACACCTTCAGCAAAGTGACAGGATACAAGATCAACTCAAGAAAATCAGTAGCCCTACTATATACAGACCATAAAACATTACCCTTTACAATTGCCATAGCAACATAAAATACTTTGGGGTAACACTAACCAAAAAAGTAAAAGACCTATATCACAAGAACTTTGAGTCATTAATGAAAGAAATGAAAGAAGACACCAGAAAACGGAAAGATCTACCATGCTATTGGATAGGTAGAATAAATGTAGTAAAAATGGCAATTCTGCCAAAAGCAATCTTCAGACTCAATGCAATCCCACTCAAAATTCTAGCACAATTCTTCACAGACTTTGAAAGATCATTTCTCAACTTTACATGGAAAAACAAAAGACCAAGGATAGCCAAGACAACTTTGCTCAACAAAGCAATGTCCAGAGGCATCACCATTCCTGACTTCAATCTCTACTATAGAGCTATAGTCCTGAAAACAGCTTGGTATTGGCACAAAAATATACAGGTATACCAATGGGATCGATTCAAACACCCTGATATTAACCCACACACCTAAGAACACATGATTTTTGACAAAGAAGCTAAAATTATACAATGGAAAAAGGATACCATCTTCAACAAATTGTGCTGGCATAACTGGATATTGGCATGTAGAAGACTGCAGATAGATCCATGTCTATCGCCATGCACAAAACTTAAGTCCAAATGGATCAAAGACCTCAACATAAATATAGCCACACTGAACCTCTTAGAAGAGAAAGTGGGAGGTACCCTTGAACAAATTGGTACAGGAGACCCCTTCCTGAACATAACTCCAGTAGCACAGACACTAATATCGACAATTAATAAATGGGACCTCCTGAAACTGAGAAGCTACTGTAAGGCAAAGGAAACAGTCAACAAGACAATAAGGTAGCCCATAAAATGGGAAAAGATATTCACTAGCC